TTGCATCACTTCCTGCTGAACGGCCTTTCAGATTCCTGTAGAGCAGAAAAACCATGAGCCACTTCCACAGATCTCCTGCAGCTTAAACACTGTAATCTAGTCATAGACTTATTAAATTTACTTTTACAGTTCTGGAAAATACCCATGTAACTCGTACAAGAACATTTCCAAATCAAATCAAAGTTTTTTCCCCTTTTTTTTTTTTTTTTTTTTTAATCAAATATACAACAGTACAGCAGACAGTGGTACATGCAGGCAACGAAATGAAATGAGTTTCCCTGAGTTCTCCCTATACCAAGTGATTGAAATATATAATGAAAATAAATTAGTATAATAGTAAAAATATTTTTAAAAAATAATAAAACAAAATGGAAATTTGAAATTCTTGATTAGCTACTGAGCCCCATTGCCTGAGGGTAGGTATTGTTGCGGAGCCTGTTAAAGATATAGGCTTTCTTTTTGCTTTTTTTAATATGTGTACTGCACCAGCATTGGTCATATTGAGTGTCCTGCAATAATATAAATGAAATATCATTTGTCATAGTCTGAGTGCCGTTCGGCCTTGAACACGATCATTGATCAAAAGCAGGTTTTTATTTTGGACAGACATAAGCGGCTCCGTTTGGGGCTGTTCTCCCTTTTTCCGTAACACTGCTGTCTGAATGGTGGTGTTCCTCCTGCCCCCCCCACCCCCGCCCCCCTAGGCCTCCCGGCCGGAGCACGGCGCCATCTTGCTGTGGAGCGTGTGCAGCTGGAGGCAGCTGCAGACCTTGGCCTTTCACAGCCTGACCGTCACGCAGATGGCTTTCTCCCCCGACGGCTGCTTCCTGCTGGCCGTGTCCCGCGACAGGACCTGGTCGCTATGGAAGCAGCAGGATGCTGTACCTCCTGCCTCCGGTATGTCCCCTCCCCCGTCACGTGATGAGCCTGAGCCTGAGCCTGAGCCTGAGCCTGAGCCTGGCTTGCTGGGCCCCCCTCAGGCCCCTCGCTGCCCCTCAGACAGACAGGGTGGATCTGCTCCCTTTCTTCTCTGTTTTTCTCTGTCCTTGCATCTGCCGCGTGGAAATCTCTATCAGCCGGGCCGCCTTTTCTCTCCTCTTGTCGCCTGCCTAACCAGGTGAGACCAGCTAATCGCCGCCAGGCCAAATGGATCTGCCAGCCCCGAAATTGAGTGGCTGTCCCATATCGACAGGCGTTCACCTACTCCCCCCTCCTCCTGTTAACCAGAGTCTCTCTTTATTAAGGGTGCCTGATCTGGGGAATATAAATGTGGGAGGGGAGACAGGTGTGGCTGCCCTGTCGGTCACGGAGCCCAAGCCCCGCCTCCGGGGGCGGGGCTTACTGAGATGCTGCCATTCCCCCAGTGACACGTTGCATCTCCGCAGAGCCCACATTCGCCCTCTGCGCCCACACGAGTAAGAACACGTCAGTACATGCCCGCATCATCTGGTCATGTGACTGGAGCCCAGACAGCAAGTACTTCGTCACATCAAGCCGGGATAAGAAGGTAACAGCCGACAGGCCCAGATCCACTCGCCTTAGGGGGCATTTCTGTGGTGACGGTACGTGGAAAACACCTTTCCAGCAGTTTCATTAATCATCATTCCGTCGTTTTGATAGCATTTTATTGGGTTGCTTGCAGACGTCCCCCTCCGGAAGATGCCAGTAGCTAGAGAGAGTCGTAAAAGTTTTGACTTGGATAAGCCGACTTTTTCTGTTAAGGCTTCTGATTGGTGAGTTTGGGAGCTTGTGGGCGGGTTATCTGACCCCTATCCAACCACACAGGTCATCGTCTGGGGTGACTGCAGCCGCCTCCCTGCCACTGGGGAAAGCAGCCCCGCCTCCCTCAGTCCCTGCTCCTCCATCCTGGACGTCGGCGACTCCTGCACGGCCGTCAGTTTCTGCCCCGTCTCCTGTCGCGACGGCAGGTTGGCTGTCGCCGTGCGGCTCCGCCCCTTTAGGCCACGCCCACACGCCCCACGTCGCGCTCCGGACCGTGAGCGCGGCAGCTCCACGCGGCCTTTCCCCGAGCACCGATTTTCCCGTTAAAAAATTAATTGGTGCGCTACGACGCGCATTAAATCCGTCGATCGATTTCTGACCACTTCACTTTAACTGAGGTCGGCCCAGAGCGCGGAGCTAGTAAACAGTTAAAGCTGATGCGTTTATCGGCTGGAGTATTTCTGCTACAATGAAATAACCCTTTTCAATTTCCCCGGACCTGCATGCTGCGTGTTATAAGGACTCGACACCATTACGTTTGATATATCTGCAGTGTGTGGCACTAATAGACTGACTTTCTGTTAAGTCCACATTTGGCCGGTCCGTTCTTCACCGCCGGTTCCTTCCTTCTTCGCTTTCTTTCTACGGCCGCCCTCTTATGTTTGTCTTCCCCCAGTTACCTCCTGGCTGTGGGACTGGAGAGCGGGAGAATCGCGCTGTTTACGTGGAGACCCCTGACCGACCCATCTGCTGGAGGAGACTGGGCCGCTCGTGGAGAGCTGGACAGCTCGTATCCTTGGCTCCCAGAATGCAGTGCGGTCGCCGTCACTTCAGTCCCCTGTCTACCCTCTGTGTGCCCCCCCCAGCCTTTCGACATGCCCGTTTTACTCTGCCATCTGCACACCATGATTAGCCAATTAATCGTTTATTGAATGGTGGGGCTCGGTCGGATTTGCTGCTGATGGGAGATTCTGTGGTCAGGTGGCCAGGGGTCCGTGCAGGGGATACTGGAGGTCATGTGACCTGTACTGCTTTTTGGACAGGCAGAGCATAGGCCACACCAAGGGTCCTCAGCTACCCCTGCCTGTTATGGCTGCTGGTATGTTATGGGTCGCAACCAACCCTGTCAACCCTGTGGACAGTAGTGTGTTAATGGTTAGGGAAGCGCACTTTTAATTGAAAGATTGCAGGTTCGAATCCCAGACCAGCAAGGCACCTCTGAGGTACCCTAAGCAAGGTACCACCCCCAAGCACTGCTCCCCGGGCGCTGAATTAGCTGCCCCCTGCTATGTCACGGTGTCACATATGGGTTAAAATCAGAGGACACACTTCGTTGTTGTGCACTGTTTGCTGTGGTGTGTCAACAACGACCACTGATCACCTAATTCTAATTCAACCTTGTCAAACGATCTCTCCCAGATGCAGGTTCCGAATCCAGTTCACTGGCACCATCTCTGTGTCATGGTCATTTACAGGTTCAGCAAGGCTTTGACCCCAAACGAAGCCGACTTAAAGCAGGAGGAGCTGGGGAAGTGTTTGAACCCCCCCCTGGGGCTGCAGTGAGACCACCCCCAGATTTAATGCAGTGTGGCAGTGTTGTTATCTTATCTCAATTTAAACAGGAATAACACTAAATGAAAGTCACACTTCATTATGTGCAACCTACTTCATTTAGTAATTATCGATACAAAAAACTATTAACTAAACATGCTTAGAGCTTAAGTCACTGCTAACAGCTGCTGTACCAAGTTTCTCTGGCTAATTTCTTGAAGAAACATGATTTTTTTGGGGTAAAATATGACAGTGCTACAAGATGAATAGCAAAAAAAAAAGAAAAGAAAAATGAGGTCATTTGTTTTAGCGCTTTGAAGTTAAGTGGTTTGTACCCTCAAGATTCCCGAGTTTTCTTCCAAAGGACAGAGGTTGTTTAAGAATGTATCGTTAGCCGTGTAGCGCGGTGCTCTTAGCCTAGACGCGCTCGCCGCTTGCGTGGAGCTCTCCCGTGGCGACGCCACACTCTGCCGAGCGACGGCTGTGAGCTGGAATTACTCGGCTCACTGGATGCAGTGTTTGGACAAAGGTGCCTCTTAAGTGTCCCACTCTGCATCTGCGCCGGTTTGCCGCTGCCTCCGGGAAGTTTGTATATAGCTTTTCTGTCCTGCAGTATGACCCGCTTCACTGCCTTATTTGGAAATATAAGGAGCAGCCTTTTTGGTAATTAAGTTCAGCATTTAAAGGCGCTTCTCTCGATCTTAATGAGACACACACACACACACACACACAGCCTTCCCCTGTTGTTTAACAGTATAACATGGTTTGAAATATGCTTAGCTGACCAGTATTTGCTCTCATTGGCTGATAGTGAGTAGGAGGAGCTAAAGTCTCATTGGTTAACTTTGACCCAGGACCGTGGTCTGTTCTTGGGCGAAGCGGAGGGGCAACCACGTCTGTCCAGATTTTATACCATTCCTCCTTAATGCCACACGCCCCCCCCCCCCAGCCAAAGTCACACCCTGACGGTGAAGAGACTCCGCTGGAGGCCCCGGAGGGGCCGTGCCGGCCATGAGGACGAGGCTGGGGACAGTGGCTGGCTCCAGCTAGCCAGCGCTGGCGCTGACCACTCCGTTAAAATATTCAACGTCAACAGCCTGGCTCTGTAGGGCTCCGCTCCCTGCTGGCAGGGGTCGCAGTCTCGTCGGGCCAGATCAAGGAGACCCATCTACGGACATTTTACAAAATACCAGAATGTCCTCGGTTGGGGCTAGACCGGTTTTGTATATTGTTGTGAAGCAGGAAAATAAATCAAAGGTTATGTAAATATGACTGGACCCCTTATTTCTAGATGGTCGTACAGTGCTTACCGGGGCTGGAGGTTAGGTCTGTAGGACAGTGAAATGGCGGTTGATAGAGGAGAAGCCACCCGATGCGTTAATGAGGACTTTATCATTCTGAATCCCATGCTAAGCTCTTGCATTCTGTAGGCTCTCACTGGTGGTAAACATAGTAAGTCAGATTGGGTAAAAATATTGACTAAGCAGTTAAATTATCATGTCAGAAACCTGCTAAGATGCAGTGGAGGGACTTTGACCTCTGATATCGGGACGTGGCTTGGAAGTGTGTACAGGAAGGTTGGTTTCCTGCTCAAAACTCCAGTAGTGGGACCAGCAGCAGTGCTCACACACACCTGCCCAAGGACTGTGGGGAAAAATGACCACTCAGGAATAGCCAATCAGCTTTTGAGTTCTGAGATATGGATCTTGGCTGATTAAAGGCCAGCTGACTTAATTAATCATCGTTTGCAGGTGATTGTGAGCCGTGGTAGTGTACCGTACCGGCGTGAGTCACGGGAGATTGAAAATTGAAGTTGTTAGTCTTTGCTAATCCCAGGTGTGTTATGTGTGGCTTAATATGTGAGGGAGGCGGTGAGGCTGGAGCTGGAGTGCTGTCTGCTGCAGCCGCGGCGAGGGGTCCCCTGGGAGATCTCGGCACCGATCGCACATTTTCCAGTCCTGCTATTCGGTTAGGTCACCTTCTAAGGCTGCACCTCTAGGTGGTCGTCTCACACAGACACTGAACATCAAGCTGTCAGCCAAGACGGTTTGATATGGGTCCGGAGTGTCGCTGGTGTCCTGCCCCCTGTAGGGAGTGGTATCGCAGCTTGTTACATACCTTCCTGTTCGGCTGTTAGGAGACACACCTCTGCTCCCAGAACAGCCATAGCGGGGAAGTTCTTTGTGCTCACGACTGGCTGACTCATGACATTTAAGCATGGGCCTGGAAGCCCTGGCAGATAATGGAGCCCGAGGTGACATTTTATCAGGGGGCCTAGAATTTCTATCTACACCCCCGCTTTTAAGGTTAAGATCCCCAGGATTTGCTAATCTTTTTTCACTGCCCCTCCCAGTCATGCTAATTATCATTCGTTGTCAGAAGGTCATAAGAAGGCCGACATCCACATTGGCCCGTGTCCCCCGTGTATCATTAAAATGTCGCACCACACTTAAACATTATCGAATGACGATCGGAGTGTTACTGCAGTGGCCGTAACACATTCCCTTAAATTGGACCGGTTGCAGAGAGAAGCTCCGAGTTCAGCTGTTTCTCAGGGTGGCAGTGGAGACACTTATTACCCCCCGTGGAAATGAGAATGGAAATCGATGACATCTTCTGGCTCCATGTGGTCACAGCTGAGAGCATCACGGACGCCATTAGGTTCCTTCACTGGTAGTTGCTGCATCTTTCAGGTCTTTCGGGCTACACTGTGGTATATAAATGTCATCTTGACTGAAAGGGGTGCTGGATTGATTTTATACATCTTCTGGTTATGAGATTCCTGGTGTCAGACAGGTGTTATGCCTATGAAAGCACCCAGTAGGGGCTAATCCTGCACTCAAGGGGCCTCCCAAGACCTAGGGGTCCATTAAATGAGTCGGGAGCCTTGATAAGAACTGAAATCTTGGTGAAATGTGCACAGGCATTTCCTGGGCATTGACTCCTGACTCCAGTGTCTGATTGGTCAGATTGCTGCGAGCTCAGTTACATCACTGCGGGTCACCTGACTCCTGGCAGCACATGTCTTCCTGACAGTCATTCGGACCATCTAGCGCCGACATAATAAACATTTCAGCGTGACCAAAGCTTTGGCTTACGGGGCAGTATTCACGCAGCATGCATAGTTGTGTTTCTGTTGTTTTCCATTTCAGAAATGAGCCCGTTGAGTTACACGTGGCTTACATGCCACCATCCGACGTGTTTTTTGTTCTTTCTGAAATACTGGACTTCCTTTATGTTTTATTAATGAATATATTTCTGTGAAATTTTCTTAAACATCTGAAAGATTTAGAGTTCAGTGAGTTAAATAGCCCATGTTCAGATGGTTGTGGGCTCAGATCCACTGGCCACAAAATGGTCCTATCACTGCTGGGTTCTTGAGCATGGTCCTGCCCCAAAAGCTCTGGAGCACTGCATGCAGGCTGACCCTGCATGCCCACCCCAAATCACACCCTCAGCTGCATAAGCACGCGTATCTGTTTCTCTGATACAAAAACCAAAGATTCCCTGCATACTTATTCAAGTGGAAAACAAAGCGTTTTATTTTATAATAAACAAACTCCACCCCACATGTTCATTATTCAAGGGAAATTGTTTAAATGTTAAAACTGCACCAGCAATAGCAGCACTCATGAACATTGTGGGATATACAGAACATGTTTACAGATATCTTTTAAGGGTGTATAGTTTCAAGTCCTTGTCACCTGTAGAGAATTCCTTTCATATTTACAACAAAGCTAGACGATATGAAAGTGCACAGAAAATCCAGGCTCTGATCATAACCATTCCACTGCTTTTGTACTGTCTTCTATTCTTGTGAAAATATTGGCTATAAAATGTGGCGCTCAGTGATGTACGTCAAGCTCAAATCCCATGACAGCAGCCAAGACGCCAAGCGAGTTTTCGTATCCAGGGTGAGAGGTTCACTAAACATCCGTCTCACATCTAATGAAGCTTAACGTCTCTTAACCGTGTGGTTTGTCTTCTGATACTGGCTTCTGAGGATGCATGGTGCAGACCAAATAAATATTGAAGTAGACATTTTTCATTTCCACTTTATTTAAACATGATGTGTAAAGTAATGCCAGTCCATTACATTGAGACACGTAAATTAGCGCACTGAGCTAAAATAGACCTTAATGAATGCTGGGATGATGGAGTGACTGTGTAGTATTCATATTATACAACTCTTTATCACTATCTACTATACAATACATAGATACAGATACTGTATATTAGAATGAGTTGCAAATCTCCCCTTAATCCTTAGGAGGCATGATGTTGGGTGTCAATAAACATGGACGATGATTAATGGCGGAGATGGACGTAAGGTCCGGTGAACTGACACGTGTCCAAAATTAAAAATGGCCGGCTATTGCACAACATAACTGAGAAGCAGATTTGGAGGTACTATGAGCCCTTGATCTACCACAAAGTCCAATGCTCCAGATCCTTTATCTCTTAAAAAAAAAAGAGTGGGGTGGGGGGGGGCGGGGGACAAAACACAAAATTAAGTTACAGAAGACCGGTAAATTCATAGTCCTTCGATAATGTACAGTTTTTGGCATCAGAAACATTTATGGGCGTCCTCTTGTGCATCCTAGATGTGTAGGATAACGTCAAGCATGATTCCTAGCCAGCGTAATTCATCGCTTGCGTGATTTATGCGTCGCGTGGCATTGAGTCTGTGCTACTGGTGTACACACCTCATGGGCAAGAGTGCTGGAGCGACTCGGACGAATGGATCAGAACTTCGGCTTGGAGGGTCACCGATTCGCCCCTGCCAGCATCCCTTGTCCCTGGGGCTGTTATAGGATAAACTCGGGGGTGAACGACTGAGCCGAACGGCTCCATAATGGTGGCTCACGGCTCAGTGTGAAAGACCGTTGGAAATCGGCAAAAACAGAGGTAACTTTATACGAATTAAACGTCGTTTTTTTATTATTATTATTTCATGCCATCTCGAAGAAGCCAAATACCAAAGATTCCATACAATCGACACCATCAGAGTATCATCAGCAAATGTACACAATCACAAATGTTATATAGAAAATGTGTCTGAGGGAACAACAAACGGCCGCGTGGCACTTCGTTACAAGTGTCCGTGCATTTCTGGTCGGTAGAGAGAGGAACCCTTGGCTTGGTAGAGGTCTGTGTTGTGCTGCATTATAAATGTTCTTTTGTCCTCTGTCCACGGTGGGGGGGGGGCGACTCTGAGAGGCTGGTCCGCACCATGCAGCTGGAGGCCTCACGGTGCAGCTGTCCCATCCTCACCTCTTCGTCGTCGCTGTCCTCCTTCTTCTCCAGCACCCCTCCTCAATCTGCCTGGCTTGCAGCGGAGGTGGACCGGTCAGACCTCCACAGATGTGTCTCCACGGTAATCCGGACTGCTTCTGCGTCAAGCTCCGAGCCCCAAAAAACCGTTTACGGGTTACAGACAATTTACAGACGCCTTGGAACCGTATAATGTTTTCTCTTTTCTTTCCAGCCAACATGAGCATATCCTGTGGCCAGTGACTACTGTAAGACAACAGGCACAGCGTTCAACAGAGTTCTTAAACAAAAACCAAGACACCGATAACAAAACTGGTCTATTTCCAAACTAGCTTATTCAGGACGTGTTTTTCGATTACATTTTGTTCATGTGATACAGGTGACAAAGAAAAAGGCAGGAGCTGTGTCTCAGGCCTAATCAGCGTGTGCTAATTAATATGTTAGCTTCGATTTTAGGCCCCGAAAATGATTTCTTAGTGAGAAGCATCTTTTCCCTGTTGCCAAGTGTCATTTGATCCGTCATAGCAACAAATTATTTTGTGTTGTTCACTTTATTAAAGAACAATCGCAACGGAGATTTCCCACTGGAAATTTCGGGCTAATGTCCACATAAATGAGCGATTCCGGGGCACCGAGCTGCAGTCGAAATTCAAAGCGGGCATTTTTCTGACCAGCCATAAACAGACTGTCTAAAATTTTTCTATAGAAAAGACTCCTATCAAAACCTTATTAAAGTCACACTGATATGCACCAAATATAAAAAAAAAAAATGCAAGTTGTCCGATGATGACGGCCTGACAGGTTCCATTTTGTTCGAGCTTTATGCTTCCTTCTTGGGATATTTCACCTACTGCAAAGTCGTTAGGAATGCATAAAGGTCAGCGGTGTCCAAATCGACCGCGGTCAGGTACTGTATGTGCTGCGGGTTTCGGAAACGGACAGCTAGAGATATTGCACATGCACACAGCGGCCTCCTCGTAGAAAGGTTTGTGATGGGTGTGGCGGCGTGACCACTGGAGGCTGCTAGGGCATCGGCCGCTCGAGGATGGGGCCCGTTGTCACCCGACTGCCCGGAAGACTGTCTTGGGTCTCGATCTCACTGGCCGTGACGCGCCTCCTGGCGTGTTCCGTTTCCGGGACCGCAATGTCCTGACGCTCATTCGGGAGGATTCACCATGAGACTGATTTAAGTGCCATGGCGTCTTGTGTTGTTCTCTCATTTTTTTTTTTTTTTTTTTTTAAAGGAACGGTGCAAATTCAGGGGAGTGTAAAACCCCACTTGTGCATATTATTACTGAACATCAGGCTAACAGCCTGATCCTGGGCTTCGCGGCGATCACACACCTTGTCCACGCCGCTGAGCTCACGCGCGTGATGCCGAGGAGCAGCACTCCGATCAAACGTCTTATTTAGTTTGTACGATTTTAAATACGACATGTTTTTGCACCCCTGCCCCACCCCACCCCCCTGCCCCTCTGCCCAAATGATGCAGATTCGCACACCCGAAGCCAGAATGTATGGTTATTTACACGTTTGTTATGGTCGCTTGTACGGCTCCCGGTTCAGGTGTTAAGAACAGCGCCTCCGGTGGCCGAGACGGAACCCAGGCGTCGCAGTGGAATACTCGAGTTTGGCAAAGTGACACGTGAACTGATATTTGTGGGACATGGGCGACCCCCCAGGTTCGCATCCCCTTTAGAGTGTCGTATCCCACTTCTGCAGTTTGTTAGTTTATTAGGGGGTGGGGGATGGGGGGGGTTGTGTATCAGGACCTCCCATGATGGGTGGGGATGTGTGTACAGGGAGGGGGGGGGCAGGGTAGGGCACGTGTTTGGAGGTGCGCACTGGGTCCCACACGCAGTCCCGCTGTTCGCTGACTACAATCAGTCCGACTGGAATATTGAAGGGGCTCGCCTACGAATGGCCGCTGCCTGGCATGACCTCACAGGCCCGAGACCATGACCCGGTAGGAGGGCGGCATGTGTCTGTGCCGGGGGCTTGAGCCGGGGCTGCCCGTCGGGCTGGCACAGCTGGCGTCCACCCCCCCTATGGAGGGCAAGTAGGCATGATGGAGGATGGGCAGCTGCAAGGACAGTCGCCTCTGTATGCTGGAAAAGAGAGAGACGTGCGTGAGACGGGGAGTCGTGCAACAGTCACATGACCACCATTTCATATTGAAGGCACAGGGACCGAACAGCCCCCATTAGTGTCCGAAACACTGCGCCTCGTGTAAACAGATAAGGGGCGTGTATATTTAAGCCTGCAAAGCTCTCCATTGGGCAATGCTTTCGCCTGACCTCAAGGGGCTTCCTGGCCCAGTGCTGCCCCCTAGAGGGCCATGGCCCGGGACCCTCTAGGGGGCGGCCCTCCACTGCTGATCCACGAGCACCAGTGGCCCCCGGGGGTCCCGCCGAGCCGGGTAGCACGCCCAGCACCATGCGAGCGGTACATTTCAGGCCAATTACATAACCAAATGTCAGTTATGTAAAAAAATAATGACAATAATAATAGTCTTCTCAACTCTTCATCAAAGAAGTTAACAGGGCAGAAATCCGACTGTATTCTCAATTCTCTTTCAGTTCATTCTGTGCGGTTTTAATCACTGACAGCATTATTATTATTTTTTGTGCTGATTGACCATTACAAAATCTCATTTAACAAGTTGGGATACCTGGAAATCTTCAGCCATTTACTATTACTGACTGAAATAAAAATTATAATAACATGAATCGATACAATAATAATAACAATAAAAAAATATGCATGTCTAATAATATAAGAAAATGATTTGGATGATTAATTTCAATGGTTATTACCAATGAAATGCTCATTTGTTTACACTTTGCTAGCCTGTTGTGTGCATTCGCACCCGCCATGTTGTCTGATTTCCACGCGATGGATAAAGCAGTAGACTTTGTTTGTTTCCTGTCCTAGCAAAGCCGGCGTGCCTTCCCAGCATCACTCCTGCCGTTGCAGAGGTGGAAAGTTCAGGTCCAGAAAGTACAAATCCAGACCAAGGTTTTGTTTCAACCAACCAGTTGAGTACTCTGTGACTGTGACTCTTCATGCTCATCAGCTCGGTTGAAACAAAATCTTGGTTTGGATTTGTATTTTCTGGACCTGAACTTTAATAGATTACTTTTGTGAGTAACTTCCCCAACACTGTGCCTAACGTCAGACGTGCAGTTACCCCGACACAATGTGCCCTCCTGCACACAGTACAGCGCCAGCTTCTGGCCCCCACCTCCTTGAACCCAATTTGGGCCAGATGACCTTGATGCTACATCAAATCCCTGGGGGTACCTCAAGAACCTGGCCGGCAGCCAGGGACCGTGGAGAGGAAGTGGAAATGTCTTCCCTCCTGAGCTAAGCCAGGATGCGATCGGAAACTGGGGGGGGGGGGCATCAAGCCAACTCATTCTCTTAGCACTCAAGAACCCGGCTCCATTTCCCTGCCCAGCTGTGATAGGGATGGAGACAGAAGGAGAATGTTCCAGAATACTTGCTGGGAAAGAAACTATTTGCTCAACCTGGTCCTTCGTTTATTTACTAGCACCAGCCCCCCCCCCCCTTCAGGTTCCCTCTCAGCTCTGCGCCTCAGTAACTACACAGAGCTACGTTTCCTGCTCCGAAGGACTCAAATCCATCAGGTCACTCTGAAACGCGGCCCGCGAGGGCTTAGTGAAGAGACAGCCTCTGTGGACGCTAAATGCCATCGTCTCGTCTGGGCCGCCAGAGACGAGCCGAGAGCCGGGAAGCACTTACTGTTCTGGTGAGTTGATGTCCTCTAGGGGACCCCGGTTTATTCTGGAAGGATCCACTGAGCCCCACTGGGCTTGAGGCTTCTGCTCAAGGTAGTTCTTTAAGCTGGATCTGTCCCCCTCTGTGAAGACAATGGCAACACTTTGGTGTTCCCACATTCATCTGGCAGCGCTGCAACTTTCCGACGAGCCGTGAAGATCGAGACGTGTATCGATTTCACGCCGCAGAACGGAGCAGACGCACATTTTTCGTAGCAGCATCAATCTAAATAACCAGCAATATCTGTCTCACAAATAGGGTATCTGGTCTGTTCCCCTCTGTGTTTCCTTCACAAGTCGTCCCAGTTTTTAACCTTCTAGCATAAAATTGACCTGATTTGAAGATCACAGCGGTGACTTGTGCCGCTTTGACTCTGGGGAGATGCGGAAGCCGCCAGATCCATGCAGAAATAGGTTAACCCCGTGTAACACGTTACACGTTAAGACCTGCTAGCAGGGCCTAGGCACATATCACCTTTCAATCTATAACATAAATATAGCATCATGGTAGAGTGGGTCGATTCCCGCGCCTGGCTCTCTGTGTTTGGCCTTTATACATTCTGCCAGTGTCCAAAAATACTCGGCTTGGTGAATTACTGTCTTTACACTGACCATACTGTGTATACAGCCTGCCATTCTGTCCCGAGTGTCCACTGCCTTTTCAATAAATAATGCAGGTTTTTTTTTTTTTACGAAATCTTTTTACAGTGATTTGGGTTTATATTTTTGTTTGCTTATATGACTTTAATATTTTTAAAGGTTTTTATGTATGAATTCTGTTTCTATATAAAGTGTCTCCCCGTCCTCACATGCTGCCTCTCTTGACAACCTCACTTGCTGCCTCTCTCCCCGTCCTCACATGCTGCCTCTCCTGCTGTCCGTACGCTCTCTATCTCTCCCTGTCCTCTCACCACCCTCATGCGTCGCCTCTCTCCCTGTCTTGACTCACTGCCTCTCTCCCTGTCTTGACTCACTGCCTCTCTCCCTGTTGTCGCACATTGCCTCTCCTGTTGTCCTCACTCGCAGCCTCTCTCCCCATCATCACCAGCTGCCTCTCTTGACAACCTCACTTGCTGCCTCTCTCCCCATCCTCACACGCTGCCTCTCCTGCTATCCTCACATGCTGCCTCTCCTGCCATCCTTATGTGCTGCCTCTCTCCTTGTCATTACGCACTGCTTCTCCTGCTGTCCTCACACACTGCCTCTCTCCCTGTCCCCCCATGCTGCCTCTCTCCTGCTGTCCTCACACACTGCCTCTCCTGCCGTCCTCATGCACTGCCTCCCTCCTTGTCATTACGCACTACTTCTCCTGCTGTCCTCACACACTGCCTCTCCTGCCGTCCTCACACACTGCCTCTCCTGCCGTCCTCACACACTGCCTCTCTTGGTAACCTCATACTGTGCTTCCTTCAGATTTAAGTGCATTTGGCCCCAAAAGCAGGAGGCTGCTGGAGCTGAGGATGTGCTGCCACAATCCCGCCCACTGCCGCCCCAGTGGCCGTTGCTATTGGATGGGGCTATTTTGGGTCTGACTGAGATCCACTGCTCCCAGGAGGGCCTATCGATGACAGACTGATAACATGCATCCATAAAATTCTTTGCTCTAATTATGGCTGCTCTACCATGGGGTTCTGTAGTGTGTAATGAAACACTTTAATTACTGATGGCTCTGCGAGAGTCTGAAAATTCCCCGCAACAGCAATATTGTAAATATTTTTTCCTGCATGCAGAAAATCCAAATTTTTGTTTGCCAATTTAAAAAAAAAGCAAAACGAGAAAAGAGACCTATAAAAATCAGTCAAGTTCTGCGCACAGAGACTTTTTGAGAAACTTTGAAAAAGGAAATCTGCCTGTGAATGCGTGGTGATTAGTCCAAATCACCTCTTTCAAACTGTACTTCCGCAGCACAGAGCTGTCAGATTCGCATTTAGAAAATGACTCTGTAACCCTCTGTAGAAATGCTGCTTGCTGGAGAACTATTACATAACTGCAGCACGCAGACACAGACACACGAGGCAGCGGCCAGGAGGGGGCGACCCGTCAAACTTTCCCAAAAGCTGCCTCTGACATGCCCCACACCGACTGAGTATTCACCCAGGAGACGGCCCCCCAATGTCTATCCCAACCCTCACTTTGCCCCAGGAATGCTGAAGATGTGGAGGGCCGTCTGGAGGGGCTGTACTGACTGGAGCACTAGCCTGCCTCCCCAGCAGAGGCCGCCACCACTATTTACCTCTCACTGATCTGCTGATCCCATTTCAGAAGAGTAAACATACACACACTCAAAGCAAAGCCTGGAAAGGTGAGGGGCGCTGAGATGCCACACGCTGCCTTTCGGGGTCCCCCCTCCCCCAAAGCCCTGTTGCCATGGTAACCACTCATACCGTATTCTGCTCTCTTCCCTTGAAGCATCCACAGACCCCAAGAGCCAGACTGACTCAAGGGTGGCAGAAGTACACTCTGAAAATGCCCGTCTCCGCGGAAGGGTGTGACTGCGGCCTGGAGAGAGCGGGTCGGGGGCCGCGGAGGGTAAACAAACGGACGGACAGACGCCGGTGCCCAGAACCGAGCATCATGCCACTCGACGGTGATGGCGTGCTCGGCTGGGATGCAGGGCTACGTTTACACCACAGATGGCGTCCTGACTAAGAGCCGGCAGGGTGCACTGTGTATGTCTGTATCTATGTGTGCTTGTTATCTGGAGTGCCGGGGAGGCACAGGACGTTTAACGAGTCACGCGTATCGTGTCTGACAGGTCAGCTACGTCGTTTTTTACCGGCTAAATCTCACCCATTTAATGAGGGACTGGTTAGTTTCAGGATGTCCTTGGGATTATATCACATTCCATTTTATCGTGACAGGTTTACCTGTGCGTAGAGCTCCCAGGGGACCAGAGCGGAGGGGGGTTTCTCGGAGGTGCGTTTGATGATGATGCTGCGCTAACAGCACATTCACCGGTCTTCCAATAAGTGAGAATATCTAAGTGTGGAATTGTGTTTTCAGTTCCCATGCGCTGAACCTACACCCCTGCATGGCAGTAAATCCCAGGCGCAGTGGAGGTTTTCCATCCCAGTGCCAACGCCCTGGCCTTTGGTCTGCGGTCAGCCTGCGGTCACTCACCTTTGATGCTGCGTATGCTGAGGATGTTGTTGAGGTCCTGGTACTGGTTCTGTTTGATGTAGGGCGTCTTCTCCGGCGTGTCCTGCAGCTGCATCGTCACCTCCTCCAGCTCCTTGTCAAGCTGCACACGGGACAAAGCAGAAGGTTCAGACGGGGTCTGCCGGCCGTAGGACCGACTCCTGATCCGCTAACCCTTAGAACACTCAATTATCGTTGGTAGCTCAAAGAATCAGTCGCCTCGTCTCTGTCTGTGGACCTCAGCTGTGTGGGCTCTAGCGTCGATGACAAAGAGCAGGGCTCTCGAGGAATGCCGCAGGCGTGATCCCATAATCCCAGCAGGCCGCTGGGGTTGTGTGAGGAGTTACCTCCGTTATCCGCATTCTGAGCCGATGGTTGTCAGTCTGCAGGCCATCCAGCCGGGAGGTGTTGGCCTGGTTGACACTGGTCACCGAGGTGGATGTCTTGGAGTCCTCCTTCTTCTGGTTCTGGGTGAACTTCAGCCTCCGGTTCTGTGTGGCCGCGTCCGGGTTCGTCCTCATGGTGATCAACTGCGGCCGACAGGAGGGTTCATAAGATGTGAGGAATGCGGGCAATACCGACACACGCCTTCCGCCACACGTGGGGAATTCAGGAATGACGGACGTCGGCATGTGTGTATGGATTACTATATATTACTAATTTTAACAACTTAAAGTCGATAGCTAGATAGCTAGCTGACTAACATCATTATTAATTGTGAATATACAGTGAGAATAGTTTGTATCTTGTTGACATATTTGCTTTGCTGACAACAATCCATGTAAGTCCGTATAAAACATTAAATCATTCACTGATGACTGTGTAACGATAGTTTTTTATGTGTGAGGCTAAGGATGTTCCATTACATTGTTTTAGGTTTATTTTGTAAAGTTGTTTCTGAGATGCATTTTTTCCCACACTTCTTGATATAATGAATTTTATGTAGGTATGTGTTTTTCATTGGACAGTGACAATATAAAAGGTCATGCTTTGCCGTCAGCACCCAACCCAAAACCCCATTCAGCTTCTTGTACCTTGGGCACGAACACCAAGCACAGGGTGATGGTGCTGCAGAAGATGATGACCAGGGCCACAATGCAGAACTGCACATTGGGTTGGTCGCGCGTCAGGAAAGACACGGCGGCTCCGATAATGCACATGATCCCCACGTTGTAGACACTCATGCCGATGTACTTGCTGTCGTTCAGCGCCGGGATGCTCACATTCCGGGTCTCCCAGGCCAGAAAACAACCAAACAGCTGGAAGGGGAGGAGCAAACAATGCCATCAGGCAGCAAATAGGAAGGCAAGTTGAGCGTGCGTGTGTTGACGGCCAATGAAAACACAGCAATAGCATGTCAGCTCAGCATTAGCTTATCTCCCATCAGAGGCTTACAGTAAAAACACGATGCACATTAACTGGTGTATGACAGCTACAACAGCGGGCTTCGAATGATTTTACAGGCTAGTTGGAGACTTTTGTTTATTTGCATTGGTTTTGCTTAATCTCTGGAATTGGTTTCAATGACTACCCACAAAATGAGTCTGGGGACAGGCTCCGGACATTAGTTGCCTCTGAAATATGTGTTCCCGTACTCTGGGAAAATGACTCACCATGATCCACCAGGACACGCTGCATACAGACGTCCATGTCCCAGTTTATCTTACACTCAGTCTCTATAACGGGAGCTGAGCCCTAAATTATTCACCACCTCCGTCAGCTACGCCAGGGCATCGAGGCAAGCCATCCGAGGCAGACGGCGATGTTTTGGGGCCGTCACAATTCTGGTGGCAGGTCTTTGGTGACGTGGCACCAGGGAGACTTCTGGGAAACAGGAGTGCTCTCTCTCAGAGGTGCTGGTGGATTGGGGGGTGCTGGGGGGGGGATATAGGTTACTGCCGAATTATGACGCAGTTCCCCAGCGATGGATCTCAGGGACCCAATGCCGTGCGAGTCAGGGCAGGAGACGTGCTGAGTTACCGTGGAAACTGTAGGCTTCCTGTGGACGTCAAGCCCTCGTTTCCCTCCAAAATTTAGCACATTCTGTAGCTAACGAATTGAAGCTAAGACATCATTAATGTGCTGTTTCCCGTGCTGTTTCTGAACCAAAGACCCCAGCATACATTTATCCACTGTATTTTGAGGCGAGTGCCCAATAACGGCAAATCGGTGACTGGCAGCTTTCACGTTGACAAGAAGAAGGCCATCAAGACGGGTGCGTGCACTGGAGCGAGCAGAAGGCCGCCCCGTTGACAGGCACTATGTCGACGTACTCACCATCAGAAGGCCTTTGTAGGCATAAACGATGCCCAGCCAAATGGTCATGTGCGTGTTCTCACAGTGCTCCAGGAAGGGCCGGATGGCAATGTCTCGTCCCTGTGGGTCTGCCTGCAGGGCGGCGACATAGGGGCGGAGTGTCAGACCAGGTGACATAGGGGAGCTGCATTGGAATGCCGTGTGTGGATGAACTGGGTCGACTGGGCCACCGGTGAATCTTAAGAAGCTAGATTCCTCGCAAGTCTATTAAGTCGCTTCCGGACTAAAGGAAAATATTCTTAGAGGCTGAAATTTAGAAAAAGCGGATTCTGCCATGTGTCCCAGACGGAGTTGAGTTGCACATGCAGGGGAACAGCGGCAACACGGCTAAGCATGTTTCATGCTTCCTCTGTGGATGCAGATGTATCACCATGGTCCCCGAAAGCCACAGATTCAAGGGTTTTATTTGTCACATGCAAGGCACACAGTCCAATTGTGACCTGCAGTAAAATGCGAGGCGGTCAACTCCGCCATGATGATAATAATGAAAAGCAGTAAGACAAAGTTACAGTATAGTAAATATGCAATAAATAAGGAACAGTAAAGTTACAGAGGTAATAAGAGAACAGGAGAACCAGATATATGTGCAAAAACTGCGAAAGTGCGCACAACCAAGCACAAAACAAAGAGACTCAAAAAATCAACAGCAAATCAGCAATAACTTAAATTTAGCAGTAGTAATCTTGGACAACTGGGCATCCCACACACTTTACCCACAATCACACGTCACACACAAAAAAAGACTGGGGGGGGGGGGGGGGGGGAGGGGGTTGATTGGTAATTTCATACGTTTAACCATTTCCATTTTTTTTAAGATTCAAACAGAAACGTAAAACAACAGAAAATAAATCATTTCTGGAATACTGGCCAGGGCCTGTGGTTTGAGACCCCCACTTTCAGATGTCCAACCTGAAGTCCTTCGGGGGACCCACACGCATCTGCGAGCCCAATTCACACCTCACAGCCACTGCTATACCTGATAAAGTCGAGAGCAAACTCGGCAGTCCAGCGAATCACCGCGTTCGCCTAACCGCCCCCCCGGCTGCAGGAGAACCCCCCGTGGAGCGGAGTAACGATTGCGCGCCTTGTGGTAAATCAGGCCGCCACTCTGCCAGCCTCCACAGGAAGTACTGTAGCGCTAAGCTTTACGGGCCTGTAATTGTTTAAATGGCCTTAAATTGGATTAATCACGGCCACTCAGCTACCAGCACTGCTGTGGCATGCTGACAAATAATGAGGTGTTATGCACGGTCACCCCGCTCCCCGGCCCCCCGCCCTCCACGCTGCCTGGACGTGCGAGGTCTTCCCGGGCCGCTGGGACACACCTCAGATGCACCTGAGCGCAGTCCACAGTCCCGGCTCTGTCAGAGACCGTCCCCTGACCCAGGTTCCATCTGCATTCATCTGACGGGGCGACATCTCAGGGACAACCGAGTTCAGTTCAGTGACAGACATAAAATACCCGGCTTGTACATCTGTGATGCTTAGCTAACAAAAAACTCTGAAAAAAAGTCAAACTGCTGAGCAGGCAGCGAGAGAGACCAAGTGGAGTAAGAGGGTCAGCAGATCTTCAGGACCTGGTCAATATGGCCGGTAAATATGGGGCATGTCCGCACTGCTGTTTAGCAGCTTATCTAGCTTACTGGGAGGGGGGGGCAGGAATCAGAGAGCTCAAAGCACATCCACTTGAACTCAGAACCTGCTGGGCCGCACTGGGCCGCCCCACCGAAACACCTCATATCGTGTTGACGTACAGCTGACGTTCGTGTCATCGCTCTCCGTTCCAGGGGAGCCGGGGACTCGACCTCTTTACAGATGCCTCCAGCAATTAAGCCATCGCTTCGCAGCCCAGTTTCCGCAGACCTACTTACTCCGAGGACGCCCTCTGTGTGCGTGTCGCTTTTAGAGGAGCCCATGGGGGGAAGCCCAAAGGGGCTGCGCCGGGGGGGAGAGATGAAGCGGGAGACGGCCCCCACTTACCTACTCATACCCCAACATGGGCCTAAAGCCAATTTCACAGAATGGACAAAAGTTATCTGGCTCACAGGAAAATTGACCCACTTTATCCCGTGCAGCACATCTAATTAACAGTCTAATTAAGCAGTAAATTCAGAATTCTGAATAATTATGGCAGGTAAAGTCTGGAAGACTGATAAGACTATTTCTGTTCTCCATCTACCTGCTGCCTGGAGGTCTCCCCACATGAGGACCAGGTCCTCCTTCTCCAGGAAGGAGTAATAGGTTCGGCAACCCCTCCCCGGTCCGGGTCCGGGGAGTGAGGGGGTGCCGAATTCTCACCGCAATCGATCACCACTCTCGTTTTCCTAATGAGTTGGTGTTAATTATCGCCGAGCTCGGTGAATTACGGGAGTCCTGGGGAGCACTGGATCACGGCATGTGGTGATCTGTTTTTGGAGGAAGCAGCAGGCGTGGGACCGGCAGCAAGAGGAAACCCCTTATGGGAAGACCCTGTGTAAGGAGATCCCGTATGAGGAGACCCTGCATGAGGAGACCCCGCATGGGGAGACCTCTGGGTATGTCCATCTGCTCGCACATGAGAGATGAACGCAGGCTGGAGAGACACATCCGGCACTTAGTTTATAAAGCGACAGGCCGGGCTCCCATTCCCCGCGGACCTCGCCGCGTCGCTGAGGCCGGGCCGCCAGCCTGACAGAGATCCGCCGGGACGGAGATGAGGCCCTGCTCACGTGCCACTGCCACGGGCGCCGCACAGTCACTTAGCTGTTGTCAACACGCTGGGTCCCCTCGGAGATCGAGCCTTTCGGGCTCTGCAAAAAATGACCGTGCAGAAATCGCTGAGAGGTGCATTAAACCAGGTCCTGTCATCATATTCTGGGGGAGAGGAGCGTCCCCAGCTCCCTCCATAGCCGCTGCCATCGGTTTCTGCAGAAACAACTCCCACCTCATGCATAAGTGCGTTCTGCACCTGACTCATACCTGACTAACAGGTCGGGGAAGATTAGAACTTCATAAAAAGACTTTAGCAGAAGTCAATGCTATGGAGTTTACCCAGCAAAACAATACGGGGGGTTGTGTTTATGGGAAGTGGGGCGTACACTCTTTAGGCCATAAACGGGAGAGGATTTGTTTTTATTTGCATTCTCAGATTGCCATAGAAATGAGCCAGAATGAAAGGCATGTTCCGAGAAGATGGAGATGTGTGAAAGAAGTCCTCACTGACATGTCGTGGTGGCTGCCGGTAGGGGACGAGGAAGCGGTAAGGTCTGCCCGCAGTTGGTGTTCTGCGGCACGCAGCCCCAGCTGACTCCTCCACTTGCGCCTGGATGGGCTCCGCCTCCTCTGAATCGTGGTTGCCTAGCAACAGCCAGGCAAACAAAGTCCCCGGCATCCTGCCATTTTCAGCACATTAGTTTTCTAATGTAATTGTCTGTCAAGGAGAGGGGAGGCCGGCCTGCCAGTGGGGGGCCCCGGAGAGGCAGTAGGTGCCGGCTGATAGCGGTGCGGATGCAGGCGGGGGGGACGGGGAGGGGGTTCTGTTTACCATGGGGGGAGGGGGGGGAGAGCCAGGGCCTGTGGAGGGCAGGAAATGGAGCTCAATGTCAGAAATGGAGGTTGTTTGGCGCAGTGTGAGGTGCAGGAATGAGCTGGCAGCCGCCTGACAGTCACCCTCCATCACCGGCTCCATCCTGGGATGCTGAGTTTTTCTTAGAGAACCTGGAAGCTGGTGGTTTTTCAGCAGGGAAATCCCTCCAGTGGGGAGGTGGCCGCCAGCGGAAAGTGTGATGTGGGACGATGCCCCGGCCACAGCGCCGCAGCCCCACCCTCAGTGATGGCGCCAACATGGCGGCAGTGAGGTCTGTTCCTGCTCTCCTGGTCTCCCCAGTCCTCTCAGACCATCCTCTGAGCAGCCGGCTGTCACCCAGGAGGGATGCTGGGAAGGATGTGCCTGAGGCGGGGGCCACATATGGATCAGTGTGAGATCCTTCACAGTCACCGTGGCCCCCAGCGCAGAGCCCTGAAGCAACGCTGTACTGTACTGTCAAAAGCAAGCGTGGAGCCAGCCCTCAGGCAGCAAAATAATATTTCCTTGTTTTATTATGACAGACAGATCCTCAGTGAAATGACCTCATTCCTTCATGTGTATCGAAGAGCTTTGAACGAGATAATTTTTCTTGGCACATTTAAAATCAGTCATGTAAAGTAGTACTGTATCGTGTAAATTAAACGCTAAATGGAGCTCCCACACTAGCCAGCATGCAGGACATTGGAGGTGTCATCATCCCTGTAACATTTTCCGTACACATGGTGCCATGGTGACGTCCCCTCAGTCAGGAGTAGCAGGCGCCCCCTTCGGGAGCTAATGAGAATGACGCCTGTTTGTGTGCAAGCTTTGGGAGTCTTGGTGAGGACACTCACCTCATACATACATCTCAGCTGCCCTTTTGGAGGGGGATGCCGGGCACCTGCCAGAGTGAAGCCCCATCTCCACGGTGACGCTGCCATGCTGCCTGCTGGGCCCTCCTCCCTGCTCTTGCCCCGCCCCTTAGTACGTCATAATCGGCTCCTTAGAAGGAGGTTGCCATGAGAGCCATGCATGTCTGAGCCAGTCCAGCAGCTGTGTCATACGGAAAATACAGCTTCTGGAGTGCTGTGTGCGATAGTCAGGGAGCACGTGGCCTCAGCCAATCGCAGACTGATGGCGCCCCCCCAATGCCCCTTCCAGAGCAGTCAGGCACAATCGCTAACCTGAGTGAGTGGGATGGTATACGACTGGCGAATGTGGAATGGGGGGGGGTCGGGGTTGGCCCTGTGTGACTCAGTGAGTCAAAAAGCTGTGTCTGGGACCAGTACTGTAGGTTGCCAGTTCCAATCCCTTGGTGGGCAGGCAGCATGTTTTCATCGATCGGTCCTTGATCAAGGCCGTTAACCCCTGACTGACCGACCCTGCTTTCTCAAAAATGTACATCATCCATTTTCTGCTGCTTATCTGGCTTCTGAGCAGTGAGCCTCCCCCCTCCCGCTCCCCCAAGAGCGACAGCGAGGATATCCCAGGCCAGTCGATAAACCGGCAGACCCAGGAAAATGTACAT